ATACCACTACTGTGCATGCTATGGCCTTGTATGTGCTAGGCTTTACAAACATTACCTTGTTTTTCCACTGTTGCGGCTTCACCAATGGTAGCAACAGTTGAATACTAGTTCAAATAGAACACTGGTGACTTCTGGCATTTTTATTATCACATTGTGAAAACTTGCTGTAATCAAGGTCAGATGATAAGATGATATAATGCTGCAGTAGCCAAGTCTACACTAGCTCTTCACCATGGTGATTCAGTAGGAGATTTCAGAAAATAAGGTTAGTTATGTATAAATGTTATTTTAGCAAAATTCTAGCAAGGACACCGGAACCATTTTTTAAAATGTCCCATTTTTGCCAACAAAACTTCAACTCTAATGGTATTAACAGTGTTAAGATTTGTAGTACAAAAGCGCTTCTAGTTATTGGCATATTTTTAACTCTGCACCAAGTAAACCTCTTCAGAACAGTTCTTATCAATATTGTTAAAAATACCAATTATGAGTAAACACTAAAACTTCAGTATTGTGGAGCTGAACTGGTGTTAGTATAGGGAAGTCTTGCTACTGTTGACAGGACTGCACTTCCTGTGTTAAAAATAATTGTCCCATTAATGGAGATAAGTTGAGCCATGTTCAACATTGTATGAAATTATAATTCACTGATTATTAGCGGTGATTCATGCTTTCTGCCTCGGGTATTGAACTTGTTTTAGTTCTGTCCATAAAAGCAGCTTGACTGTGGATAAAGGAGATTTATGGGTCAAAGTTGATAACACTCCATAAGTCTTTCACTTCCAAGTAGATACTAAAAAGCAATATACCCAACTTTATAAAACCTGCATTTTAATGCAAAACCTTAGTGGTATCCTCAGATTATTAAACAATCAATTTGTAAACAGATGGAGGATAATAGGATGATAAAGACTAGCTAGCGTGGATTTGTCCAGAACAAATCATGACAAACCACCCAAATTTCCTTTGTTGACAGGATTGCTGATCTTGTGGATAAGGGAAAGCAGTAGCTGTGATGTATCTTCATTTTAGTAAGACTTTTGACACAGTCCCACATGATGTTCCCATGTCCATAGTAGGGATGTAATAGTGTAGTCGATTAACCGATAAGGAAAAGCTTATCAGTTAATGCTAAAGACTACATGCATGTCCTTCCCACCCATACCCCAATCAGTACTGTGGCTCTACATTTAAAGTGTATCAGGAGCCAGTTGGGTAGGCAACCCAGCTCAGTTCCAGCTTATGCCAGGTGCGGGAGCTGAGACCTCCTTTAGACAGGGGCTGCTGCCACCCTGCGCTGCTACCTGTTTATAAGAGGCAGCAGTGGCAGGCAGCCAGTTCATGAGGAGAGCTGGTTTTTAAAGTGGCTCCTCTCGTGGACCAGCTCCCGCCAGGCACCCCACACTGCTGCTGGCACTGTCCCGAGGCAACGTTCAAAGGGGCAGTGCCACACAGCTGATCCCCGACTCAGCTGTGTGACGCTGCCCCTTTGAAATGCCACCTGAGTATTTGAAAGGGACAGCGCTGCACAGCTGAGCTGGGGATCAGTTGTGCGGCTGCCGCTTTGAAACACTGAAGGGGTGTTCAAAGGGACAGTGCCTCGGTGTTTCAAGGCAGCAGCAGCGCACAGCTGAGCCTGTGATCAGCTGTGCAGCACTGCTGCGTGTTGAGCCTGGGGTCAGGTGGGGACGCCCCAGCTGATCCCGGGCTCCAGTGCGGCATTTGAGCGGAACTCGAGATCAACTGGCGAGTCCCCAGCATTTCAAAGCTGGCCCCCGTGCAGCCCAGAGTCCGTAGGAATGTGGAAGTGCATATTGACTAGTCGAGTAGTCGATGGAAATTCCATCGACTACTCAAATAGTAAATTAACTGTTACTTAATATCCTTACCACACTTTAGGAAAGATGTGGATAAATGAGAGAGAATCCAGAAGAGAGCAACATAAATTATACCAATTTTAAAAAACTTGCCCTATAAAAAAAGTTTAAAAAACTGGGCATATATAATCTTGAGGGGGGAGGGGAGATGGAGAGGAGACAGGATAGCATGCAGATATGTTAATGGCTGTTATGAAGAGAAGAGTGATCAGTTGTTCTCCAGGTGTACTGAAGGTAGGATAAGAAACAATGAGCTTAATATGCACTAGGGAAGAGTTAGGTTAGCTATTAAGAAAAGCTTTCGAACTATAAGGATAATTAAGGTTGGGAACAGGCTTCCAATGGATGTTGTGGAATCCCCATCACTGGAAGTTTTTTTAAAAAAACCAGGATGGATAAACACCTGTTAGGGATGGTCTAGGCTAGGAGTTTTCTTTGGTCCTGCTACAGTGGATGGGGCTGGACAGAGAGACTTCTTGAGATACCTTCCAACCCTACATTTCTATATCTATATTTGAGCTTTTGTGGGTAAAACCCACTTCTTTACTCACAAAAGCTTACAATTCTCTCTATATTTTTTGTTAGTCTCTACAATGCCACAGGACTACTTGTTGTTTTTAAAGTTCCAGACAATCATGGCTACCCTTCTGAATCTTTTTAATATTACTAAAATAGCCATTAAGGGTTTATCTTGTCCTGGTAACAAATAAGTTATATTTTGTAGGCTGGGACTTGCTAACACCCCACAGTTCATAGGTATTTCCATCAGAGACACTTTGCGAAGTCTAGGAAAGAAGATCCTATTCTTTGTCGCCTATGTAGCACTGCCAGATCTCCCATGCTCCCTTACAGAGGAGACCCCTACGCCACCCACCTCTTTTCCCAAATCTTCTAGCCTGTTGTTCTTTTCCTTTTGCTACGACAACACTTGTTTTTTTTAAGAAAAGGAAATTACCACAAAAACTTTTTGCTTACAATCAGTTATGATACTTCTAACACTCCCCCATTCCCCCTTGCTACTGACAAAAATAAAGAAAGCCTTTCTGGTCTCATGCCACAGCTCTCCTGGTGAAAGATAAGATTGTTTGCAAAAGATGGTCTAAAGCCTTTGTGGCTGCTGATGTACCAAACAAAAATCTAATTAATGACCAGCTATGCAAGTGCCAGGTCTTCTCTTCCTGCTGTGCATATGGAGAGCTCTAAACCATATCTGCATCTGACATGGAAGATGCGCATTCTTATTGAAAGTTAGATAATTACTCACCTGTGACTCTGGTGTGATGCAAACTGAGACCCGTCATGGATGATTAGGCAATCCATGCTCTTCCTGGAGGTGTCTTCACATAGCCATTCACATAGCTACCTCATGTAGGGATGTGACTGGTTAACCAGTTAACTGGTAAGCATCACCCTATTGGGGGCAGAAGGCTGCTCTAGCCCTATAAAGCCAGCAGGGGCAAGGATGCTCCAGCCAGACTAGGGCAGCAGCCATCCATGGTGGGCCTGGCCTGGCCCAGCCCAGCGCACTGAGAGCAGGGGTTTCTCCAGCCTAGCTAGAGCAGGGGCTAAGCCCTGTTGGACCAGCACCTATCCACAGCAGCTCTGGTCCAGTGCCCTGTGGGCAGGGATGCCCCAGTCTGGCTGGAGCAACCCCCGCTTGCAGCAGTCCTGGCCTGACACACCCCAGGCAGGGGTGCTCCACCCTAGGTGGCCAGAGCAGCCCCTGTCCATGGCGTGGGAGTGAGACCTGCTACAGTTATTTGGTTTAACATAGAATTTAACTGGTTAACTGGAATTTTACATCCCTTACTCCCTCTGCTCCGGACTGGATAAGACACCTCTTAAGAGCCAATTGTAGTCACGCCATTGCTTTTGCTGACACCAGCACAAACCCTTAAAAGCATGAAATGAGTAGCTAAAGTAATATTTGTTTATTACCATCTCTCATTAATTGTTCTTGTGGCTTGTTTATATACAGAAGTTGCACTTGTTTAAGTTAGATTGGTTTAAAAACAATTTAATTAAATTGGTTCAAACTCATGTGAGGGTGCACAAAGCCAGGTAAGGTCCCCGCTCATATCTATACCCCCCCATCTTAATCTCCTCACTCCCACCCCCCCCAACCTGGCACCCCCAGCTTATTCCAACACCCTCTCTCCTGGCCAGACACCCCACCCTACTCCTCTTCACAACCATCTTAATTTCCTCACTCCCACCCCCCCCAACCTGGCACCCCCAGCTTATTCCAACACCCTCTCTCCTGGCCAGACACCCCACCCTACTCCTCTTCACATTGCTCCTGAACCCTCTGTCTTGGCCATGCACTGCACCCTCCCTTGCTCCTGTTCCTGCTCCCTCCACCTGGCCAGATACCCTACTCCCAGCCTGCTTCTTCACCCTACCCCCCCATTCAGACCTCATAACTCTACCCCTTCTGTACCCCACCTCCCTCCCAGATCTTGTACCCCATCCGTATTCTACTTGCTGGCAGCTCTGTCTCGCACACTGTATCCCTCATTTTTGTCCTTACCCCAGAGCCTAAGGAGGTCCATAAAATCTACTAACTCTGGAACCCCAGAAAAGTAAATCTATGGGAAGCCCTGAATCTCAGTCCCTCCCGCCTTTCCCTTCCCCTCACCCTGTGGGGCTGGGGCACCAGAGGAGTGAGGTGTCTCAGTTGGGGCCACGTCAGTGAGTGTTGGAGTTTCAGTAAGTGTTGGAGTTTTTTGGAGGAGTTGTTTTGCTTTTCACTTGTGTGGTCCCCAGCTATTTTTTCTGTGGGTCAGTGTCCCCTGACCCAAAAAAGGTTCCCCACCCTGCCATAAATAAAGAAAATATTGAAACCTTTTGTGTTGGACATAATATTTTACTTTATTTAACCTGAAGTTTGATAAACTAACATGAGTTAAAATGCTTAATCTGTTTCATAATTTAAATTAAACCATTCTCCCTAGCTGTAGCTGGTTCAGAAAATAAGGTCACCATACCCAGCCTGCCCTTGCCTCCCCTCCCTCTCCTTTCCCCAGCACACAGATCCGTGAATAAGTTAAAATCTCGGTACACCACTTCTGAAAGGTTGCTGACCCCTGCACTAAAAGGTAAGATATGGCTCTTCATTTATTTATTAATGGAGCGGCTGTAAGTAGGACTATTATTGACTGTAAAAAGTATCACTGGCACTCGGACCCGTACATAGAGACAAATAAGTCAAATCTCAGCACTCTACCTCTGAAAGGTTGCTGACTGCCTGATGTAGACGAACATGCAGCACACACAAAACATTCTTGTAATTCCCACTGTAAGGTGAACCTCTGACTTAGACATTGGTGGACTTATGCTAGAGATGGCCATGGCAGAATAATAAAGGTTTCATTAACACTTTTGGCTGAATACGAGTCTTAAAAATCTTTTATTTTGTAAAAAAAAAATATCTCATTAAAATGGCACAAATAAATACAAACAAAATGTAAAGTTCAGTATTACTTGAATTTTTCAAAGATAGATGAAAACATAGGTATGATGAAAATAATGAACATTCCAAAAATATCTTTCTGCTGGTTTAAACTTGATTCTCACCTTTTTTCAGACTCCTGCTTTTGTGAGAACTCTGAAACACTCTGTGTGAGATCTACGCTTGGCTCCTCATGTATTAATTCTGACATCAATTATAGACAGGTAACATTTGTCTCTAGATCATTTTATCACTTGTAAATAAGTGCAAATATGTACTCAAAGGTGAAGTTGCAGCATTTTACATGTATATAATGGTTTATATTTGCTGATGAGATCTTCCTGCTGTAGTTTGGTGTGGCTAGGGAGGTGGATGTTGGAAGCCTTGGCAAGACTGTTGGTCCCTATGTGCAGATGGGTAGCATATGTCAGAGATGGTAGAACCCAATTAGGAGGAAAATGGTGCTATGAACTTGGGGTGGTGTTCAATAGGTGCACAAGGGAGGCAGTCCTAGCATCACCAAGCAAATATCGTTCCGTCCTGTCCAATTCACTGTGTGATGTTGCTCTTGCTTTTCTGAAGCCAACTTTCTCTGTGACTGAGCCAAAATAAATTGAAGAGCTCTGAGCTCGCCCCTGAATGCTAGAGTATGTGTTAGGGATGTGAATGACTAGTCAACTAGTTGCTTCTCCCCTTGCTCCCTCTATCAGAAAGAGGCAGCAAAGGTGGTGAAAGGATGGGGTTCTTCAAAGCAGCAGCATCGCGTGGAGCCCTGGGCCAGACCCTGAGCTCCACACAGTATTGTTGGCTGCCCACGGTGTTTCAAAACAGCAGTGCCGGGTGGAGTCAGCTGGGGACTCCCCTGCTGACCCTAGGCTCCATGCGGCACTGCTGCTTTGAAATGTCATGGGGAGCCCGGGCCAGCAGGGAACTGCTTGAGTCCACCGCTAACCCCATGCTTCTGCAGTGCTTTCGCCTTTTGCCCTGGAGCTGTTGCTACACTTCAGAGGCAGAAGTGCCCTTACTGACTAATCGATTAATCTAAATCTAACATCACTAGTATGTGTTTCAATGTTTAAATAAGACATTGAAGGAAAAATGCTGATTTATTACTTTGAATATTCTCAGATATTATATCAATATATATACAAATCTAGCATCATATAAATGCTGTGTTTATTTGCTCTTCTATATTTCCATTACAATAGAGGACAATGTAGCACTTTAAAGACTAACAAGATGGTTTATTAGATGATGAGCTTTCGTGGGCCAGACCCACTTCCTCAGATCAAATAGTGGAAGAAAGTAGTCACAACCATATATACCAAAGGATGCAATTAAAAAAAATGAACAAATATGAAAAGGACAAATCACATTGCAGAACAGGGGGGGAATGCAGGGGGGGGGGAAGGGGGAGGAAGGAAGGTAAGTGTCTGTGAATTGCTGATATTAAAGGTAGGGAGAGTGGGATGTTTGTGAGTTAATGGTATTACAGGTGATAATTGGGGAAACTGTCTTGATAATGGGTGAGAAAGTTCAAAGACTTGTTAAGTCCCTGTTGGTAAGTGTCGAATTTTAACATGAATGACAGTTCAGAGGATTCCCTTTCAAGTGCAGATGTAAAAGGTCTTTGTAGCAGAATGCAGGTGGCTAAGTCATTTAGAGAGTGTCCTTTCTGGTTAAAGTGGCAAGAAACTGTTTTCTCTTTGTGATCTTGTCTGATATCTGTTTTGTGGGCATTAATCCTTTGGCGAAGTGTCTGAGATGTTTGTCCAATGTACATAGCAGACGGACACTTTCGGCACATGATAGCATAGATTATATTTCTGGATGCGCAGGAATATGTGTTCTTGATCTTATAACTCACTTGGTTAGGTCCAATAATGGTATCAGCAGAATGAATATGTGGACAAAGCTGGCAACGGGGTTTGTTGCAAGGGAAGGTACCAGGGTTGGTATTAGTGTGGTATGTCCTGTGGTGGTTGGTAAGAATCATCTTGAGGTTAGGTGGTTGTCTATAGGAGACTATGGGTCTGTCTCCCAGAGCCTCTTTGAGTATGGTATCCTGTTCCAATATAGGCTGTAGTTTATTGATAATGTGTTGGACAGGTTTAAGTTGGGGGTTGTAGGTGATGACAAGTGGTGTTCTATTGTTGGTTTTCTTGGGTCTGTCTTGAAGTAGATGGTTTCTAGGTATTCGTCTGGCTCTTTCAACCGGGGCCTCTTTAAAAAACTCCCCGCGCCGAGGCCGACTTACATCCAAATTCAACTTAGCATACCAGTTCCGACTTACATACAAATTCAACTTGAGAACAAACCTACAGTCCCAATTTTGTATGTAACCTGGGGACTTCCTGTATATTGAAGAATCAAAAGAGAGGTGAGACATTGCCTTGTTTAAATCAGAAGATTTTTTTATTCTTATTACAGACACTAACTACTTACCGCTGTTAGTACCTCACCAAAAATTTGTGCCTTTCCTAAATGTTATCTTATATTTTTATTTTCTAAACAACAAAGGATTACTCAATATTGTTACTCTGAAACTGAATTTGTAATGCAACCTTAATTATGATTTCTTGACCACTCTATCTGAATTTTAGTGCACTGGAGAATCTGTTAGTACAACCATTTAATATGTGGATATAACAAACTACATTATTACTGCATCTATATTTAGCTATTGCAAATGTATAATCATGGACATATTTATACATGTACTTTGCATGAATTGTGATGAAGTTTATTTGCCTATGTACCTTAGAAGTAAGGATAGGGTTAATGCAGGCATTAGGAAGCAGGAAATGCCCCAATCGGAGCTGATTAAAACTGCTATGAAAGCTATGCTTCTGAAGGAAGGAGGTGGCTGGGGAGAGATGTTAGCCCTGTGTAAAAGAGACTTAGCCTTTGTAGTGTTATAAATTCTTTCTGACTGTAAATAGAACCTGCAAGAAACTGTGGTGATACTATTTAAGTTTGGCTACACTGAGCCATTTATTATATTTTTCTTTTTCCTATGTTTAACATAACGAACTACTGACACAGTTTACACTTGAGAAACTTACCATGCTGAAAACTGTGGTTTCCTTGTCATGCTTGTCGGGCACTTCATGGCCAAATATATTTACTCCAAATAGTTTGTGTATTCTAGGGATGTTATAAATACAAGCCGTCCTTGCTCTAAGTCCAAGATATGTTCCAAAGAACTTGGACTTATAGCGAAACAACTTAAAGTGGAGAATTTTTTTCCAGCAGCTGACTTCCCTTTGTACAAATTGAGGTTTTGGGGTTTTTTGTGTGTGACTTAAAAGTGGGAAATGGGAGGACTTATAACGCATCGGTTCCTACAAGCATCAACAGCTTTAGTGTAGAATGGATGTATACCACGTCAACTTATAGCGGGGATGCCCTATATTGGTTAATTGAATAGTGGATTAATCTAATTAATTCTTATTGGTTACTCGCCTATTTTATAGTTCCCAGTGGTGGGGCTGGTAGCCAGGCCGGGCTGGCAGCCAGTACGCTCTGGCCCCACTCCGAGAAGCCCCCTACCACTCCGCGCTGCTGCTTCTCTATCAGAGGCAGCAGCATGGGATGTCAGGCAGGAGCTGGTCCGCGAGGGGATCCAGTTTAAAAACCAGCTCCCCTCACAGACTGGCTGCCTGTTACCCTGCACTGCTGCAGCAGTGCGGGGTGGCAGCAGACCCTCTCCGGGGGGAGGTGGTGGTCTGGGGACATGGGGGCATCATTTGAACTCCCTGCCTCAGGTGCCAAAATGTTGTGGGCCGGCCCTGGCTCTGTGGGACCCTGGCTTAAAAGCTGGCTCCCAACATGCGCTGGCTCCTGTGGAGCCTCTGCCCCTCTTATGTGTAAACATGTAACCTTTCAGCAGTTAAACATTTACAAAAAACCCACATTTTTTAACATCCCTAATTCAAATATAAAGCACAGTTATTTTGTGGGTACACTGAACAGTGTTATGCCCAACACATCCAATTAGAAACTGGACAGTTTTCAATTGCAGACATGGCATAAAGGGGTGTTGCCAGCTGGGCAACAGCCAACCCATATGGAACATTTTAATAGGTGAATGCCTTTTTATACATGAAGAGAACACTGAAGTGATGTGCAGACAGAAGGTGCTGATACACTTTTGGAAATTTTACTTGAAAAAGCTTTTCTGAAGGTCTTTCTCTGATGTTGTTTTATTGTGCCGTTTTGATTTTTTTAAACCAGTAGTTAAAAAAAATCCAAAGGAAATCTGTGCAAACATAAGGGTCACTCCTTCTAATGTGTGAATCATTAAACATGATATGTAAGAAATTGTTACAGTGCATCATTAAAGGTTTACAGCATCTGTACCTTTGTCTGAAGATTATTGACATAACAGGCCACAATTGCTTTGCAGTATTGGTGGGGATTTGTGCAAATATGTATGAATCTTTAATACATGGGTTTATTTGGTCTCTTTATATCTTTAAAAGCCAGTAAAATCAATGGATAAAAATTAATTGTCATTCTTTGGCTGAGGCCTTGCATTCTATGTTTCTGCTTTGTTCAAATGTTTATGGCTGTTTTGTAAACTGTTGAAAAATGGGATTTATAATTGAAAAAAAAAGAGATTTATTTATTTAACAAGTACTTTTTTGCAGTGTTCAGCCAACTATATAGCTGGTCAAAGACCAGCTATTTGACTAGTCCTAATAGTCAAGTGAGTTACATTTTAAATGTATTAAATGACTCTTGTTAAAAACTAAATGCAGTGGACAGAAGCAAGGCCTTAAGTTGTTCACTGCAGTGTATTTTCCACTCTGATTTTTAGGCTAAGATCTCAGCATGCTAGGTGGTGGATAAGTTTTTTGAGATTGTTCATATCACATAATCTGTTTTCACATATTACACCTTTAAATCCACATGGAAACTGAAGTTTGCATTGCTGGTGCCCATTCTGCATTTGTTTTGGTAATAATTACTGAGGTTTTAGGTGCTGCAAATTGGGTATTAATATATATTAAAAATATGGGTAGTGGGCATATTTTTGGTAGTATTGGGGAGATAAAGATAACCTGTGCCTGGAATGAAACAGTTAAGCCTCTTTTGGAGCACAGTGCGTTTATTTTGGGGTATCAAGTTTAAAAAAAGAGATAAACTGAAGAAAGGTCAGAGGAAAGCAGCACACACAATAAAACTTTTGGAAAAATAAGATTATATGAAGCATGTTCAGTTAGAGAAAGAGACATGTTTACTATCTACATATAACTAAAGCGATGTATTAAATGATAGGGATTGATATTCTCATCAGTCTCCAAGGACACAGCAAGAAGTGATGGGCTATAGCAGAGAGTATTTTAGGAAAAACTGGCATCACTAGATGCACTGTTGAGAAGTTGGCGAAGGAGGTTATGGAATTGACATGACTGGAGTTGGTGAGAGCTAGATTTGGCATTCATCTAAAAATATCACTTGGCAGTCATTTAGAACCTAGTCTGTATAAGGGAAAAAAATTGTACTGTTGAAGTCTGTGCTACTCTGCAGTACTAAAGGGAACTGTGCTGATGAAGTCCTATGCAGGATATGCACTTTTGGTATACGGATGTGACGTGTCACTTCCCCCCTTAATACATTTAAAAGGGTAAAGCACAAACGGGACCAGGCGCAAGCCCAGCTTGCACCCAGTCCACACCCCTCCCGTCCCCCCACTTCAGCCTAATGGTTCTTAATACATTTAAAAGGAACTGCTGCAGCTCTGCAGTTCTCCCCCTTATCAACTAATTGACTAGTCGATGGAAATTACATTGACTAGTCGATTAGCTGACTAAACGCCATTTAACATCCCACTCATCAGTTCCTGCTCAGCCCCCCCATCTTTCACTCACCATTGACTAAACGCCATTTAACATCCCTATTCTTGTAATACTATAATTTCAAAGTGACCTACTGGGATCTGATAAGCAAAAGATTCTGTCTTGGATCATCAGCTGTGGCCTAACTACATAGTGTAGGCTGATGTGACTGCTACTTGATGGTCTGGTTCCCAAGTCTCAATTAAAACAATTTAAAGTATACTTTGGCTGCCAACAGCTCCAAGCTGAAGCTGCATCTGGTTATCAGTGAAGCCTAGAGGTGTCCTATACGTGATCCTATGTCAGGGCAGAGATGGATAAAGATATCAGCAGCAAGGTGAGGGAGCAGGAACTGGTGTTGGAGGGAGCCAGCATAAAAGCCATTTTCCCCCTGCCCCCGCTCTCTCATTCACCACCTTGCTAAGACCCTGCACCCTCTCCACTCATCAGTTCCTGCTCAGCCCCCCCATCTTTCACTCACCATCTCCACCAAGACCCTGCACCCCCAGCACCCTCACTCATCTTCTGAGACCCCGCATTCCCAGGCCCCTCACTCACCAGCTCCACTCCCACTCCCTCCACAGCAGGGAGGCCGTTCTGGTGCTCCAGCTTCATCTTCCCCGGCGAGATTGAAACGCCAGTGAAGCTGCGATGTTATGCTACTCTCCTAACCCCACTGCTTCCCATCCAGCAGCCTCTGACCCTGCTTTTGCTTCCATGTCCTGCATCTCCAGAGCCTAGTGGGGAACCGCTGCCGCCTCCTGGCCCGGGGCTGGCATCAGCAGTGGTTCCCTGCTGGATCCGCGGAGTGGTGGGGCATTGACCTGGAAGCAGAAGTGGGGCCGGAGGTAGCGTGTGTGGCAGCTCAGTCTCATTGGGTTTTTCTAGTTGTGGGATGAAAACCAATCTGGTCCTATGTCTTTGGGCAAGAAAATATTATTTTACGTGAATGTTATAAAACATATGGAAAGATAGCACATAAAATAGGATGTATTTGTAGACTTGTTTTGAACTAGAATGTTTAAGAGAGTTTTCCGTGAGCCATGAACAGCTCTTTAATAGTTATGGGGAATATTCTTCCTTTGCAGCACACAAGGAACTCGTTAATACCAGTGCATTTTCTATGCATCTTACAAAAAAAGTCAATATAGTAACTATTAGCAAAGAGAAGCTGCCACCACCCCCATGCCCTCCTGCAGGTATCACCCCAGCCTCAACTGTGAAGGATTCCCATCCTGCCCTAAGCCATGGATGCCGCTTCCCTTTCTGACTGCTGAGGCTGTTGATGATGATTTCACTCTGTCATCCTGCAAGGGGGGGGGGGGGGGAGAAGAGAGACAGAGAGACACCCCTGCCCAAAGATGTGGTTGGTGACTTCTGTACAGCAGTTGTCTCTGGGAGTTTTGTGACCTTTACCATATTGTGTGCTTTGTTACAATTCTTAATTTGTATGTGTGAATTTAGTGTTTAGACCAGGGGCAGGCAAAAGGGCCTCTGCAGGCCGGATCCAGCCCACCAAGTGGGTGGATCTGGCCCGTGGAGGCCCTGCTGCTCCCCTGCCCCCAGGCCAATTAGGGCCTGGGGGTGGGGGAGCGCACAAAGCCTCCTCCCGCCCTGCCATGGGTACGTGGCGCTTTGAAGAGCCATGCACTGCTCGCAGGACGGGGGGAGAGCAGAGGAAGCTTTGTGCGCTCCTCAGGCCACTCAGGGCTTGGGAGCGGGGCAACTGCGTGAAGCTTCCTTCGCCCTGCCCCGGCCCTGCGAGGAGCGCGTGGCACTTCAAATTGCCACGTGCTCCTCACAGGGCAGGAGGAGGCTTCCCGTGCTCCCCAGACCCTGATTAGTCTGATGGTGGGGGAGCGTGCCAAGCCTCTTCCATGGCTTGGGTGCCTAATGGGCAGCGGGGGCAAAGGGGCTCCTCCACCCCCCAGACCAATCATGGTCTGGGGGTGGGGTAGCCCCAGTCCTTCCCGTTTTGGCCATGCCCCTTCCAGGGTGGCCTGGGGCTACTTCAGAAATGTTTGAAGTGGCCCCCGGGCAAAAATTATTACCCACCCCTGGTTTAGATGTAACTAATAGCTATGCCAAATATAGCAAGGAGTTGTGCTGTGTACATTTCATTTATTTTGCAAGTGTCAATATTTTTCTTGATGCTGTGAAAGGTAGCTTAAGGTGTTTTTAGATGAAATATTTAGTGATAGGCGTTGGCCTGATTTTCAGAAGTGCGGAGGACCCACTGCTCACAGTTACTTCTGGTTGTGGAGGAAATATCCTTGAAATGTGATCCAACTTGGATTGAAAAGTGGTTTAAACTATGACTGGGGATATGTGGGCTGATCCACTCAGGTGAATAGGTGTTGGATAAATTTAAGCTCCACCATTATTCAAGCCCCCTGAATGAATTGAGAGAGTGATCTTTTTCTCTGTTAATTTCCCCTTGTAGTACCTGAGTCCTCTGCCTGCTTTGGTAATGGCAGTGGAGTAGAAGGGAGAGAGAGTCTGCACTAATCATGCTGTGACAGCCTTTCTTTAGGTTAGTTCTTCCCTCTGGATAGTTTCAGTACTTCCTTTAGCGGCTGTTTGTCACTTTCTTAACCTGCAACAGAATTAAATTGACCAGATTCTTAAATTGTTTTGTTTTTCACAAAGTTCTGGACAGCAGCAGTGAAATTGTTAATTTCATACTGCCACAGTAATGGAAAATTTAGAAGCAGCAGCAGAAGCACTGGGAACCATCTGCTGAATCAGGAAGATGACAGTGCATTGCTTTTCATACCCCTCTGAAACTTTTATTCATTTGATAGATTTTTTTGATGCAACTAAGTGGCTAGGATTGTTTCCCCCCGAAATGAAAGCTTAGATTCATCCAGGAGAACTTCCAAATCACTGTGGGTGAGAGGATGTTTCAAGTCCAGATAATTAAAGTTTATTGTTGATGCACTTTTTACATCATTTTATTTGTTTGAAATGTGATATTTTTAAATGTCATGGTACCTTTGATTTTTTTTATTCTGTTGATAGACATCTTGTTTCCTAAGTGGTCTTTGTTCAAGTCAATTCAGGCTAATTTTAGGGACCGTTCATAGTTTTGTAAAATAAAATGTTTTTTGTTCAATGATGTCATGTTATATTTATACATATTTTGTCTTTTATTTTTGGTAGAAAAAATGATGCATCCTGTTGCCAGCAGTAATACAGCTTTCTGTGGGACTGGCAAGAGTTCTTGCCTTAACGAAGACAATGTGAGATCCACTGATCAGTTTGACTTGTATTCTACACAGCAAAGCAAGTACAGCCACACAGTCAGCCACAAACCAATTGCATGTCAGAGACAAGACACGTTAAATGAAACACACTTGCAAGCCACAAGTGGCAGGAATATAGAAACAAAAGATGAACTAAAGAAAAAGAAAAACCTCAACCGATCTGGTAAACGTGGAAGGCCATCGGGGACCACAAAATCAGCAGGGTATCGAACCAGCACAGGTCGACCTCTTGGGACCACCAAAGCAGCTGGATTTAAAACAAGTCCAGGCAGACCCTTGGGTACAACTAAAGCTGCAGGATACAAAGTCAGCCCAGGCAGACCTCCAGGTAGCATTAAAGCTCTATCACGGCTTGCAAATCTCAGTTATACTTGTGGCAGTGCAGCTTTTCCTTATCCTATGGTGCATAACAGAGGAGTACATGTTGCCGGTGAAACTAGTAGCAAAGTCAAACAACCCAATGAATGAAATAAAGGAATTAGTTAGTATTTCCTCATTAATCACTTTTAAACTGAATCTTGGCATGTTTTTCACATTTTTCTGTAATATTTCCATAACTTTGGCTTTTTAAATTTTTGTTTATATGTCCATTGTGCAATCCACTAATTTTTAATGTAACATGAAAGGGCATAGGTATGGCTTTGGTTTTTTTTTACAAAGGTTTTAAGTAAATTCTTAAATTATGCCTTTGTGTGTTTTCTTAAAGTAATACTCATATCCTGAGCTTTATTTGTAAGACAAATTTAATTGTCTGATTATGCACCAAGAAATTGAAATAAGCAGGAAAACATTATCTGGCTGTTAGCTATGAAGTGAGCCTAGGCCACAATAAAGATCTTGTCCAGAAGAGTTTAAAACTGATTAAACATAACAAACAATTCTAGACTATTTTTCAGAACTCTGTGACATTTTGCAATGCCAATGGGTTTTTTATAGGTGGGAATGGAGAGAAAATTAAATTTTCCACTTTTGCTAGAGCTGATATTATAGATCTCAATTGTCCATAGATATTTTGAAACTTTAAAAAGCTATTTTTCAAAGTGCTAATTTCAAGCAATTTTTATTTGCTGTAGTGTAGCATTGTCAGTTTTCACTGATGTTCCAAAATATTTTTTGAGAATGTGTAATAGTAATACTTAACATTTATGCAGCGCTTTACATCTTCAAAAGCGCCTTACAAACATGAGCTAATATGCCTTTAGGTGATAGCAGATCTTTTAGTTGTGCTACCTACAAGATTCTGCTGTATAATCTTAAAAATGCCTGACAGTGCATATACCAAACTGCAAATAATTCATTACAAATCTGATATATTTTATAAATTACAAAATAAGTACTGTTAATTCTTGTAACAAACTGAATTGAAAGTAATATTGAACAGCATGTTTTTAAATCTGTAAATAGCTACATGAGCTATTTTTTGCCTTCACAGTATGTGCTTAGGTGGTAGCAGTTAATAAGTTTTAAAATACTAATTTGGTATGTTTATAAACTTTTTAAATAGACACTGTTGCCAACTCTCAGATTTAGTTTTCCAGATATTCCAGGAATACAATTATCCCATTGTTTAACATTTATTCTATATTTAAGTTACGGAAGACTATATATCTACCAAAGGACTACATTTTCATGATTTATAATAGAAAACTGTATAGCTGGTTCAATTAAGACCCCCAGATAGAAAGCATTTCATAGGAATTAATCTATGCATGCAAATTGAAAAAGTATGTGTAATTATAAATACTTTTTTCCTTACTCAAACTGAGACCTATCCTGCATCTAACAGTTCCATTTTAACAGGGTGTGCTTGGTTTTAAAAAAAAGTGTGCGTGTGCATGTGTGAGCGTGTGTGTGTAATATGCACACACCCACCTATACTTGGAAAATAACATTCCTCACTATTGCATATTGTTATATTTATTCTAAATATATCTTGCTAGAGTTAAAGCTTTTAAAATTCTCATAGAAAGTTTACATAAAAATTGTTTCAACTATAATTTAAAATTATACTGAATATGTAGCTTCAAATACCAGTGGGAGTTTGTCAGCACATTTTTGGGAACAGAGATCTTTAAGGTTAATTAGAGCTTTTGTTGAAAATGAACAGTACCAATACTTTTGTTTTAAGAAAGTCTGGCTTGCTGTAATTTTGATGAGAACTCTGATTTCAATGAAAACTTAAGAAACAGATATCATATTTCGTACCTTTTTTATCAGGAAAAAAGCAGCAAGCCTTCAGGTGTTCCAGTGATGCCTAACACATAATGAGCTGGACTTTATGCTGTACTTTACAATAGGTGTGTTGAATTGTGATTGAGGGACTTATGTGTGCACTGGCAACTAAGACAATGAACCTCAACAATACTGGATGGCTTCTTGGTCAGTGTGTAAACTAATGGCAGCTAAACTGCTACTAAAATATAGTTTCTCCTCGCTGAAGCTATAAAGTCAAGTTACACTTTCTGTTCCTCAACAAACTGAAAAATATGAAACTCTTAATAATGTTTCTCAGAATGGTGTAACTTCTGATACACGCAAAAAGCTAACATGAGCTAATTCACCCTCAGGATATGTGTTATATTGGCTGTTTTGCCAGATGATTTTTCAACAAGAGGCTGCTTTAAACCCTTTCCTGAACTCTTCCTGGAAAGCAGCCATCTTCAGCTGAATGTAATAACTACAGAAGTGTCACGCCTCGCTAGCAAGGAACACGTTGCATGTCACCAATGTACCTTTGAGTAATGCCACTTCTTACCTCCTTCTGTTTATCCTGTTCACCCGTTTCATTTCTCACTTGTGCATCTATTCAATGGTGCTGTGCTGTGTGTCAGGAGATAATGCAGATGTATTATTGTTCTACTAGAATAATGAATTTTGTATTCAAGTATGCGGATAAAATAATGAAATCATCTAAACAATTCATGTTCATTACAGTGTTTATTAATATCAGATGAAATGTCAAAAGGCTGAACATTGTCAATTGTGAAAGGTTGAACTTAAGTAGAAATATGTGTTCATGGCTTCTGTAAAGGGCCATTTGGCACTTTGGATTTGGCAATGAGACCAGAAAGTGCAATGTTGGGCACGTCCTCATTCTGGCTTATTTTATCCATAACTGCAGTTTACTGGTGCCATGCTGTGGGGAAGAGAGAGAAGTCAAGAAGTCAAAGTGAATACGAATGGAATCTTCACATTTTTTTGTTGGCTATTATATATAACTTACAGAATATATTGTGCTTTTTTTGTAACACTGTATGTTGTCATGACAAACACTGAAACAGCATGTTAATGCTTATACTTGGATATTATCAATGGGAAAACTGGCCTTTTCCACTACAGTATGAAAGCATTATTTGTAAGGTAAATTGCTAATTTTATATTATGTACCATAATTCTGCTCTTCATAAGATAGGGTTACTGCTATGTATTAACACTGTTGAGAAAAATGATCTGCGTGTCAAATTTGTGTTTTTAATATTTTTTTTAAAATCACATTTCTAATGTCTTATTTATACATACATGAAACCTAAGTAATAGGGACCCAAGTCAAAAGTCACTGTACAAAATACATCTAGTAACTGCTATTGTATTTCTAATTAAATTTACATACATTTTAGAACTCAGTAATTTTGCTACTATTTTTTCAAGTTTTGCACTGTACATTTTCAGAATGCTAGCAGCACATATTGACAGGAAAACAATCTTGATACCAAAAGACGGCTAACTTTTAATTACTAAAATGGCATTTTTAAATATCCACTATTAGCTCTGTCATTAAAACAACTCATTCTTTATACAGTGCATTTGCTTTAATTAATCACTTAAAACTTCATATATCAAGATCCATTAAATGTCTTTTTTCTGAAATAATGCATTTTCATTTTGTCTGGAAGTTTTCTTTGGATTCATTCAGGACAAAACCAAACCTAGTCAGTGGAGTGATGTGTTTGGGGAAAGAATTACCTTTATCTGCAACATATAAAGTAACTGAGATCATAACTTCACTATTTTTCCATTTTGAAGAGCTTTAAAAAGGCAGAGCAATTCAAGATTGTCTGAAGTTATTTTAGCTGTGACTCTGCTGTTCTTTGTACTATATGTACAGTAAAGTTTAATGCTATTCCTATAGAAACATTAAAAATATAAAGCAGTTGATCATAATCATAAAATCTTGGAACTGCAAACTTTGATCACAAAAGTTTGTTCCCATTATTATAATTGCTTAAATATGTTTTTGAACTCTGGGAGACACTAGAACTTTTTCCTAGTGATTATTTTCCCCCTTTAGGTAAAATCATGTTTTGAAATCTTTGCTAAGTGTAAGGATATGCTAAATTGTTAGGAAGTTTTTGTTTCTCATACAGTAATTTGAATCGCTTTGATTCCTTAATCTTCCGCAGTTTGCTTTTCCCACACGTTAATTTTGGAGGAGACAGTTATTCATTAAATAACTAATATCAGCACTCTGTTCTCTGCTGTAAAAAGCCTGTTTAGATGCTGTTTGTTTTTATGTCCATGAACTTGAGCTACTCATGTGCAATTATGTGTATGGGAATGGAGTAGTCTTCATGATCTGTATTTACATCACCATATGGATGTATATTTATTAATAAAGTCAATACATTAAAACAGAGTATTTTATTCTTGTTTTACGCCATTCTGAAACTTGGTGGTTCTCTTTCTAAAGAAGATGGAGTGCCAGCATTGTAAGCTACTTTTCAATAAAGCCAGAGATAAACTCATCTTTTGTGTGAATGTAGGGATGCTACTTTTCCTTCTGGTTTTTATTTCATCCATATTTTAAGTGACCTAAATTTAATACCGCAAATGTTATGCCATTTAGTATATGGATTATGTTTTAAATCCATTCTTATTTTTTTTTTGCCCCCTACATTATATATTTTCAGCTCTTTAAAAAAAAAAAAAAAGAGAGAGAGAGAGAGAAAGAAAAGACCCTACAGCAGATTTTTCCCTTACCTCCTCATCTCAGGAGGGATGTAATCATATAACTTAATGTTTTCTTTGGTAGAGAATTTGCTAAACTGATGTTTATATTTGTTAATGATAAATGGCCAAATGTTCTTTATAAACAAGTGCTAGAAATTTGTGGCCTAACACAAAAATTCCACTTTTATTGCAAGTTATCAGAAAATAGAGAAATGGCAACTCCTTTCTTATTGAATAGAAAATGTGGCCACAACAGTTTTCATGACTTTGAAATTATTCTTATGATGATGACTAAATATGACAGTCATGGCGTCATACAAGTACATACATAGATTAGAAGCTCTGTTTGTACTGTTGTTTATAACAGTATTATGCAAACTTCTGTTGGACTTTCCTTTTTCATTTTTCCCTTCTTCACTGCATGTGAATGCTAATTTATTTTTGAGTTGCTCATGAGTTGAGCTGCATGTACCAGTTTGGTTTTGTGTGGCATTGATTAGTTTTGGTCTTTTGAGAATCTATTTCAAACTCACCAAAACAACACCTCCATTCCCCAAAATAGCACTGAAATATTTGCCTATTGTTTTAACCAAACAATACGTTCTGTTTACTTCACAGATACAAAGGAAAGGGAGGGAATAGTAAGTGATGGGTTTTCCAACTTTTATAGTCGCTCTATTACCCTGAAAACTTGATTTGTAAATCAAATGTAAGGAAGAAGACTATTAAATATATGTAACCAAGTGCAATCTGTTAGTCTCATGAATGGCTATAAAGATAGAGAGGCAAAGCCATTCTCTTTGGCTGTGTCTAGACTGGCAAGTTTTTCCGCAAAATCATTTGATTTTGCGGAAAAACTTGCCAGCTGTCTATACTAGCTGCTTGCTTTTCCGGAAAAGCAATGACGATCTACTGTAAAATTGTCAGTGTTTTTCCAGAAAAACTATGCTGCTCCCATATGGGCAAAAGTCCTTTTCCGGAAAAACTATTCCGGAAAAGGGCCAGTGTAGACAGCACATTAGTCTTTTCCGCAAAAAAGCCCCGATCGCGAAAATGACGATCGGGGCTTTTTTCCGGAAAAGCGTGTCTACATTGGCCACGGACGCTTTTCCGGAAAAAGTGCTTTTCCGGGCCAGTGTAGACAGCATAGTACTGTTTTCCGCAAAAAAAGCCCCGATCGCGAAAATGGCGATTGGGGCTTTTTTGTGGAAAACTGCGTCTAGATTGGCCACGGACGCTTTTCCGCAAAAAGTGCTTTTGCGGAAAAGCATCCTGCCAATCTAGACACGATGTTTCCGAAAATGCTTTTAACGGAAAACTTTTCCGTTAAAAGCATTTTCGGAAAATCATGCCAGTGTAGATGTAGCCTTTGAGTGTAAGATGGAGTATTCCAACCTTCTGCTCCAGTCATTAAATATGGCAGTTTTTGTAGGATTGGTATGTTCATGTCTGTGTCCTCACTAGGCAATTCCATTGTTAGGGAAACCTTACCCTCTCTCTCTAACCTATGTTGCTCCTATGGTTTCAGTGATTATGGAGTAATAAAAACTATACTTATTAAAGTAGCTGTACTTTGGGGACAGAGGCATAGGCAGTGTAAATACTTTACTCTGTAATAAGCACATTACGAATACTAAGTGTGGATAAGGATGGATCATTTTAGAAACTATAGCTTGTTGCTGTGTAAAGGATATCATGGCTCTCACTCACAAAAGCCATCCAGTGCCAGTTTTGATTGACTTAAGCTGGTTCTAAGTGCCCTGGCTTTCAAGGCAATTGCATATATTTAGAACAGAGTGAGTTAGACTCCAGGTAGTCTACCACATCTTATTGTACAGATCATTTCTAAGGGGAAAATAGGTAACGCTGTTAGTTTTCCATAAGACCTTAAGTATATAATAGTCATTCATAAATTATATCACATGACAATACTGGCTTTTTAGCTGTCCTAGGACCTACTTTATCACTCACATGGCTATTGTATTCTCTCTACCACATAATGAATTGAATAATAAGAATTGCAAAGCAATCTGCTTCCTCAATATGCAGGCAGTATGTAATGCCAGGTGCAGAATTGCTGATGACAGAACTACATTATGATTTATTCATGCTGAGAGACTCCAGGATTGTCAGTTTTTTGACACTCCTCACAGTGGTGACTGTGCTTTTGTTTTTTAAAAAAGGCATTCTTTATTTGGTGAGATACTAAGCTTTTCTGTGAGTCAGGATTGTTTTTTATGCTTTTGTTTAGTAAGTAGCCCAAAATAGCCCTGATGCCTCTGATGCCTGACTTGGGCCAGTAGGTAGTACTTCAATCCAAATAATTTCAGGTGAGTTTATGGACATTATAAATATTAAACATGGAGAGATGGTGGCTAGACAGAGCAGCCTTTCACACTGAAAACAAAATTAAGAATGTTCCTAAAGCTAACATTAAAGATGTATCATTAGAAATAGAGGCTTAGCTGGCTTGCAGCATTGTTTTGTGTCTTATTTTTACTAGGATCTCAAATACTCAACCATAAATAGAGGCTTAGCTGGCTTGCAGCATTGTTTTGTGTCTTTTTACTAGGATCTCAGGTACTCAACCATTGTCTGTCTGTCTCTAATTTTTTTAAAGATTTTTTTTTTACCTGGTATCTGCTGCTTGGCATCAGCTAGGACTACCAAACTTAGTATGCTGCTTCCTCTTATCCTAACTTAAAGCAAGGTCAGGATTTGGTTATGCCAAGAAAACTGGAATTTAATTCTTTTCCATAACATGGAAAGAAAGAGTATGCTGCTTCCTCTTATCCTAACTTAAAGCAAGGTCAGGATTTGCTTATGCCAAGAAAACTGGAATTTAATTGTTTTCCATAACATGGAAAGAAAGGGAGCAGAGAGGAGGGATGCTATATTGCCGACTGACCACTGGGGGCAGTGAATGTGGGGGATAGCAATACTGCAGAGTGACCACTGATGGCAGCAACACCAGGAAGGGACTGGCCTGCTGGAGACTGTGGTCACCATCTTTCCAGCCACCAGCTCAGGTAAGTGGCCTCCCCCCACAACTCCTCCCCGCCTCAGCCACAGCACCGGACGGGCATGAGGGGAGCCTCACGACTTTTCCCCTCCCCGCAGGGCCACAGGCTGCCCCCCAGCACTGCTGGGCTGCTCAGCCTGTGGTCCCCACCCCCAATCCTTCAGACAAGGCCTGGGGAACTCCACTGGAGCCAGCTGGCCTGCATGGCCCCCAAGCCAACCCATACCCCCCAGGTCAGCTGCCCCCCTCTAGTAACTGGCTCAGGGAATGCTGGTGGGTGCCCCTCCCCCCAACCCCAGGCTGGACCCAGGCAATGCCAGGTAAGTGTCCTAGTTTTTTGATATTTGAGAGACTGGCATGGTCTGAGCACATAGGACTGGCCAGGGGTGGCCCTAGACTAGCTGCCAGCAACTGGCACCCTACGCGAACCATGTAATCGGCGCCCCCACCTCCAAACCCCTCAATGATATTGCGTCATCATTTGGCACCCTATTTAACTTGGTGCCCTAGGCAACCGCCTAGCTCATCTATATGGACAGGCCACCCCTGGGACTGGGAGCTCGGAAACTCCTAAATTCAAAATGTAGCTTTAGCCCAGACTCTCTCTCTCTCTCTCTCTCTCTCTCTGGCTTTGGGGGTAAATCTGCCTAATTTACCCATCTTTAAAAGTGAAGTAAAATTACTTGCCTACCTTGCAAGGATACTGGAGAGATTAATTATTTTAAAGCACTTTGAATATGAAAAGCATTGCAGAACTTCTAAGTGTTATGGCAAAACAGTTGCAAGGATTGGACTCACATCTTTATGGTATGTGCTATTTACCTTGCATACCACAGAAACCTATTTTAATTACTGAGTAAAACTTATCATAGTGAAAATTAGTTTTATTATGCAATCCTTTGTGATGTGCATAGTATAAGCAAAAAGGGGGCAAGTTAAAGTTGCACAAGCAATCTTAAGTATGGCCTTTCCTATCTTTTCAGGGCTTGGCTTTGCAAGCTTAATATTCTTTTAATTTGGATTTATGTGTGTGTAATATGCTAAGTTTTTAAAAGAGCAAACTGAAACAAACCCATAACAAATTCCATTAGATGGAATGGGTCAAGAGCAGGACTGGAACTAGAACTATTGAAAAACAAAATTTCCTTACCACGGAAATAGAAATTTCTAAATTTCATTCTTGTTCAGAACTAAGAGTTGAAAGTTGATTTTTGTCTAATACTGAAATATTTAATTTTGACCTTATTGTTTTAACTATTATAACTATAGGATTTACCCAGTGTTGCTCAGGTCCTTAACTGAAATAATTTTTGTTTTTCTTCATTTAAATAATTACTTTGGGGGCTGGGGGATGAACGGTTCAGTATGCAGGCTGCCCTGGGGAGAGATGACCAGCCCAGCTCTCTCACTGCAGCAGCTGTGGACCAGCTGAGAAGAACCTGTCCATAGCTGCTGCAACAGGCACAGCGGGAGGAGATGGGCATGTCCTTGGGCTGGGGGACAGCCAGACACACACACGCTTTCTCAACTAGATAGTACAGTAAAACTCCAATAGTCTGGGATCCAATAGTCCGGCACTCCTGATAGTCCGGCATCAAAATGGCAAGAGCCTAGTGAGTGAGCTTCGGCAAAAAATGAGTCACAAGGTAACAGCGGCAGCAG